TCATGTTTTCGACAAGGTAATGAGCAAGAACGATAATAGTGTTACTAGGGAATTGGTTTTATGAAATGTAAATTGTCTGAAAGTAACGTCGTGGCCAACGGACTCTTCTTCCGGATCTCGTGGTTCTGCTACCGTCGCTAGTATTGGGTGATTCGGACGCCGTTGTTTCTGTTTTGACGGTGGTTTCCGTGTTTCCGGTTGCTTGACTTAGGGTTCAGACTTGGTATCCGTGACATCTGGTTCCATAAACGCTGGTTTGATTCTATCAATGCTGACCGTTTCTCGTCTACCCGAGCGTTCGACCGTGACAACTTTGTCTGATTTACTAATTACCTTGAAAGGTCCTTCATACGGGGGCTGTAAGGGTTTTCGTACGCCGTCGTGTCGGACGAAAACGTGAGTGCAGTTTGAGATGCACTGAGGTACGTAAACTTGGTTGTCTCGGTATCGTGGGGACTGAGGTCGAAGTGTGCTCATGTGTCGCCGTAGTTGTTGTACATAGTTAGTCAAGTCCGGTGGAACGTCTGTTGCCGGGTTAAAATACTCTCCTGGCAATCTTAAAGTAGTTCCATAAACTAACTCAGCAGTACAGCAGCCAATGTCCTGCTTGACACTCGAACGTATACCAAGGAGTACTAGTGGTAATTTGTCACTCCACTTGTCATCAGTCTTTACTGCCATCAGTGCTGCTTTTAGTTGTCGATGGAACCTTTCAACAATACCATTGGATGCAGGATGGTACGCAGTGGTTCTTATGCGCTTGATCCCGAGAAGTTCAGTTAACTGTTGAAATAGACTACTCTCGAACTGCGCACCTCTATCTGTGGTGATGACACTTGGGACACCAAAGTTAGAAATCCAGTGTTGGATGATATTTCTCGCTACTGTTTCGGCAGATATATCCTGCAGAGGTATTGCCACTGGCCATCTCGTGAATCGGTCTACACATGTTAAAATGTAGCTAAAACCATTTGACGGAGGTAGTGGTCCAACGATGTCAACGTGTATATGGTCAAATCTGCCATCCGGTGGGGAAAATCTTCCCGTAGGTGAAAGAATATGTCTTTGCACTTTCGATCGCTGGCACGCTAAACAAGCTCTGGACCACTGTCGAAGATCTCGATTCATCTTTGGCCAGACGTATCGGTCAGTAATTAACTTCACCGTAGCTCGAATACCAGGATGTGAAATGCCATGCATCTTAGAGAAGACTAATCGTCTCATTGATAAAGGCACAAACGGGCGGGTTTACCCTTGGATACATCACAGGTGATGGATACAGAGTCATCAAGTGTCACTTCTTCAAGACGTAATGAGGTGTTCACATTGTTTTTCAAATGTTTCAAGTCCTCATCCGTCGCCTGCAACTTTGCCATTTCTGCTAGGTCAATACGGTCACGTTCTAAGACGTTTACGTACATACGAGACAAAGCATCAGCTGCCTCATTTTTGCTGCCTTTGATATACCTTATATCTGAAGTGAATTGTGAAATAAATTCTAAATGTCGAATTTCTCGCGGCGAGTAGTTGTCATGCTTTGCATCAATTGCTTTTGTGAGTGGCTTATGGTCGGTGAATACTATAAATGAGTACCCTTCGAGCATATATCTGAAGTGCTTGATAGCCAAGTAAATCGCCAGTAGCTCTCTGCCGAATGTACTGTATCGCGATTGAGAAGCATTAAGTCGTTTCGAGAAGAAAGATAATGGTTCCCACTGACCGTGAACAAACTGTTGTAGTACTGCGCCTACCGCAACATTTGAAGCGTCTGTCATGATTGCTAGTGGTGCTTCTGAATCACGACGAGAGAGAAGAGTTTCAGAACTTAGAGCCAGCTTCAGTTTGTCAAAAGCATCATGGGCCGCTTGGGTCATGTGAAACACTTTGGCTCGTCCTTGCAATAAATCTGTCAGCGGTTGGGCTACTTCAGCACATTTAGGTATGAAACGTCGATAGAAGTTTATTAACCCCAGAAATCTTCGCAGCTTTCGAAACGAGTCTGGAACAGGATATTCTCGAATTGCATCTACTTCTTGCGGAACCGGTTTAACACCGTTGGCATTAACAATGTGACCCAAAAACTGTAGGGATTCCTTGCCAAATTCGCATTTCTGCGGATTGATTGTAATGCCATATTCACGCAGTCGTTCGAAAAGCGTCCTCAGATGTTGCAGGTGCTCTGTTTCAGATGCGCTAGCTACTATTAAGTCATCTATGTATGCACTGACGAAAGGTAAGCCATGGAGTACCTGATCTATAAATCTTTGGAATGTTTGAGCAGCATTTGTCAAACCAAACGGCATACGAATAAATTCGAAGGGGGGTAGTGATGGCCGTCTTAGGAACATCATTGGGTTCCACAGGAATGTGATAGTAAGCTCGCACGAGGTCAATCTTGGAAAAAATATTTACTTTTGTCATAGAGTTCATAAAATCATGTATGTGAGGAATTGGATACTTATCAGGGACCGTACGCTTATTCAACGCTCGATAATCACCGCAAGGCCGTATTTCCCCTGATGCTTTTTTAGGTACCATATGCAGGGGTGATGACCATGGGCTCTTGGAAGGGCGTATAACTCCCAACTTTAGAAGTTTATCAAATTCCTGTTTTGCTATCTGCAGCTTTTTAGGGTCTAAGCGTCGAGGTTTTGATGAGACTGGAGGACCTTTTGTAAGAATATGGTGCGTCACCATGTGTTTTGGAGAGGACTTCGTGTAATCCGTTTGAGTGAGCTCGGGAAATTCTCGCAGAAGGATATCGTACTCGGAAGTGTTGTTTATTGGAGCTACGACTAAGTTTATTGTTTTTGTCTCCGTAACGATACCGGTGATAGAAAATTCACCATTACGGCTGACTAGTCTATGGCGACTAGAGTCGACCAATAGTTCGTAGTGTTGAAGGAAATCCATGCCAATGATAGGCGACGATATGTCAGCTATGACGAATTCCCACTGGAATGGTGTATGAAAGCCAATGTCTAGGATCAAAATTCTGGTCCCATATGTAGTAATAGCAGATCTATTTGCCGCTTGTAGTACCAAAGTTGGGTTGGGATGGCGTTTTTCGAAGGTGTGGGTGGGATCACGCTCACTTCCGCTCCAGTGTCAACCAGAAACTGAGCTCCAGTCTTCCTATCCGTCACTCGAAACAAACGACTGTGTTGTTGTACGCCGGCGACAGCAGTCGTCACTGATCGCCGGCCTTTCCGTTTCCCGATGAAAAGGTTTTAAATCGCATGGTAACAAACAACGACGTGCTTTACTGCCAAACTTCTTGTGATACCAGCACGTGCTACTTTTAGACGCAATTCTACTCGTGGTCCTATCACGACTACGGGATCTGCTTCTACAGAACTTCGGTGACCGTCGGTTTAACTGCAAAGCCGTCAGTTGTCCTGTAAGTATGTCTATTTTCCTCTCTAAAGCGGCCACTCGGTCGTTTTGCGTTGGCTCAGCAATACTTTCAACCGGTTTAGGCATCCTTTCGTACATACGGTCAGCGATGTCAGCCAACCTGTCAATGTCAATGTCCGCATCTCCGACAGGTAGTATCTGCAGCCAGAGCTGGTAGAATAAACGGTTGTCTACGTTCCTATCTTTCAGCAGACTTTGCATATGTCGCTTAAGTTGTGAAGGTGTTCTGTCACCGAGGCATATGCTACTTAGTAGTTGATCGACAGCCTTCTGGTCAGATAACGAAGTAGCTTTCAGCACCTCCTGCTTCAAAACATCATAAGGTGTGTCTGGGTGGGGCTTTAGTAGTGTCTCCCTTACTTGTTCAGCCACTTCTTCCGGCAAAACAGAGCTTGTGTATCCGAACTTTGTGTTTTGTGAAGTTATATGATTGGCCATGAAGAAATGTTCTAGACGGACAAACCACAATTGCGGGTCATTAAACTTAAAACAAGGCATAGGAAGATTAATGGCACCCACGGACCCTAAATTCGAAAAGTCTTGATTATGACAGTTTAAGGATATCACTAGTGGTACAGCAAAAAAAATTTAAGAACAAGAGCAGGAAAAATACAGTAAACAAGTATGTCAATACCTGCCACAAGCAGCCAGAGAAATTCTCAGTATATATGTATATCCGTATTGTGTACAGTTATTAATGACTGGTTGCAGTATTCAATTGAAAACAACAATAATATCCATCCGTGAAACTTGCGAGAGTTTAGTCACGTCGGGTTCGCCAGTTTGTCGAGCTGTGAAATCTGACTCCAAATTTTATATACGTGTCCAGATACACTCTCGCCTATTTATAATTCCCGACACTGCTGATCCACCTGCGTCAGACAATGTAAATATCAGGAGTTAACGCGAAGTATATATCAGGATGTTGTATTGGTCAACGAGCGAGCAAAACGTTTTTATGAGTACAACTAAACAAAAAACGTCCAGTAAGTTCTTACATATATCAACACAATACAGGGAAATAAAATGCTACAAGTCCACTTCCATTCCATCTCCTTTCGCAGATTCCAACCACTTCTATGTCATACCTCATCTTTTTTGCAATCCGGGTAGCCTTGCTAGGTGCGGACATTCCATGTCCCCATCCTTACTTTCGCTATTCATATTACAACAAGCTAATTCACTTCATTATCAATTTTACGTTGCTGAATATCCGATGAAAAAATTGGTGCATCGAAAAGTTGAAAAAATTTCGAAGAGACAGAATATCTCAGAAACTGTTTCCTGTTCAATGTTCTACTTGAATTTACTTTTTTACAGGGAAGACAGATTAAGACGGTAACTCTTTTAAAGATAAAAATTACTATGAAGTGAGGGGAGCTGGATAGTTGTTTTTGGCATAGAACTCGTTAAAAAGATCTATAGTGTTATAATTCCAAAGTTAAGCCAAAAACATTTACACGTTTACTTTACAAATAAGTACACTTGATTGCTTTGCAAGTGTAGGCGAATGAAAGGCGTATTAGTGTTTTTAATTTGACTTATTATTTTTTTTAACACGTCATCCTATTCATCGATAAAAGCAGGAATACGAACTTCTCGCATAAATGAATTGAGTCTATTTCTCAGCGCTTTACCATCGGAGAGATTAATTCATTTTGAAATGGCCTCTTATGTCAATAAAGATTTTACTATGGACCTGTTGAAAACTATATTACCATATTCGGATTCAATCGGTTAGTCTTACTGTTTATATATTTGCTTTTTTTTATCATTGTGTTAGTATTATTGTCAATATTTATCATGCATTGAAGTGCGTTTTATCCAGTAACAATCTATAGTAAGCTCGATCTTTATAATTAGCTATTAATCTATAAGCTTCATTTGCGAAGTCCTTTCTGGTACAGCAGTCATGTGTTGAATAATTAAAATTTACTCTTTGTAGGCGATTTTTCCTCTTTGATAGTCTTCTACGAAACCGTTCAGCAATAAACATTGTACATATTTCTACTAATCGTTATTTTCAAAATATTTGGAGCACTCAGACGCTCTCACACCATTATTCATTTTTAGTTGGAAACAGCTCTTATACAAAAAGGGATTAAAAATGGATCTGCAGTACAAACATATCGGTCCTATTTATCAAGCTTCATATCAGATCGGTGGAGAAAACTGCGAAATGAAGATCATATCAACAAAATGAAAATGACATAAGATAAAAAAAGATAGTAAAAGGAAAAAAGCTATCCTATGATAGAGTTCTTACACTTTTAATATGAATACTTATGAGCTATGTCAATGAAACAGTTACTCTACAAAAGTGTGCAATCAATAATATCAAAATTAAAGGGGACGAAAATTTACATTCAACGTCATCACGACAAGTCAAACTACTCGCGAGAAATCGTCATTATTCATTCCTTTGTAAAATTAGTGCTGGTTATGTCAAGGAAAAGAATGAAAGCTTAGTGATTTAGCCATTTAGCCCATATCACACCACTCAAATTTTTTGTTTTGAACTAAAAACTCTCAATGAAACATGTAAACCTTCAACAATCACATTTCAGCGCCCTATTTGGTGACAGTTTATCAGGAGTATTCCTCTTAGCTGTGTAATGCAGTCATTTTTCATGTACTTTCGAGCAATTCTTTCTTATTCAACCAATTCTTGGTGTATTTTTGTATAATATTTGGTGATATATTCCTAACCTCGCCTAGTTAACTAGTTCAATAGTTACTAGCCGGTCCTAAGCCCGGATAAAGAGGGAAGGTTGGGCATAGGGCTAGCAACCCCACTCCGTAAAACCAATCAAATCGTTAAAGAAACTTCAATGCATAGACAAAATATAAAAATAAAAACAAAATTATTCCTCGCTGGAATCGAAGAGACGAAATGATGCCGGTTGGTAAAAAGCCTTCGGGAAGCCAGTCGGCCGATGTGTCTTCTCTCGATGAAAGCGAAAATAAGCATGGGGACATGGAATGTCCGCACCATGTGTGCACCTGGCAAGGCTGTCCAGATTGCAAAAAGATGACGAGGTGTGGCATAGAAGTGATTGGAATCTGCGAAAGGAGATAGGATGGAAGTGGACTCTCCAAACTGCCAACTAGAGAGGAGTCAATAATAATCTATTGCGATATTGTCACCCAGACGACAACCACGAGCACACTGAGTTTTGGAGTGGCTATCATGATGTCCCCGAGAGCACTGAAGGCTCTCATGCAGTAGGAACCAGTCTCCTCCAGGATCATGACAGCAAGGTTCAACTCAAACTGAAGGAAGGTCACAATCATCCAATGCTACCCTACACGCCTACGAATAATGCAGATCAAGAGAAGAAGGAGGAATTCTACAGACAACTCCAATCAGTACTGGACAAGACTCCAGTTGGCGACATCAGAATTCTAATGGGTGACATGAATGCCAAACTAGGAGCAGACAACACAGGAAGAGAACTCATCATGAGTCGAGTAGCACTCGGTGAAATGAACGAGAATGGAGAACTGTTTGCAGACTTCTGCGCATTTAATGATTTGGTGATTGGAGGCAGTGTGTACAAACACAAGGATATTCACAAAGCGACATGGACTTCACCAGACACCAGGACACACTACACTAAAAACCAGATTGACTTCATTTCAATCTGAGGAAAGTGGAGACGCAGCCTACTAGACACAAGATCAAGAAGAGGAGCAGATGTGGGTTCACACCACTCACTGTCTAGTGCAAGGAACCTTTCAAATCAAGTTGAAAGCCTTCAGAGAAGTTGGTGATAGACCACAGTTCAAGTTCAACACCTAGAACAGAAACTGAAGGACAAAACTAAAAAGGACATCTTCACGTCAGCCATCAGAACAAAATGAGAGACGTTGAGCAACATCCCTGGAGGATCGGGCGTGGAAGAACACTGGAACTCTTTGAAAGAGATGTGGAAAGAGACCTGCATAACCGTATTAGGGAGGAAGAGGAAACAAGACAAGGAATGGATCTCGACGGGCACATGGAAGCTGATAGAGGAGAGGAGGATGGTGAAGCAGAGGATGAACCAGTGCAAGGATGCACAACGAGAAGAGGAACTGAGTACAAGGTATAAAACACTGGACAAAGAAGTGAAGAAGAGTGCACCGAAAGACAAAAGACACTTCCATGACACATTGGCAAGTGAAGCAGAACAGGCTGCTGGTAGGAGAGACCTGACAACATTATATCAAATAACCAGATTACTATCTGGGGAGGGATCAATACAGATGAAACCAATAAAAGATGATGAGGGAAATCTAATTACCAAGGAAGAGAAATAAAGGAAATGGTGGGCTGACCACTTCAAGAAGCTCTTGAATCGACCACTGCCTGCACTTCGTCAAGAAATACCATCTACAGCCACAGAACTACAAGTGAACACAAGCCCTCCGACAAAAATCGAAGTTCTGAACACCATAAAGTTACTGAAATGCAGGAAAGCAGCAGGACCGAATGGAATTCCACCAGAAGCACTGAAAACAGACGCAGGGACAATAGCGGACATGCTCACACCACTATTACAGAAGGTTCGGAAGGAAGGAAGGAAAGGTACCTGGCGATTGGAAGAAGGGTTACCTTGTCAAACTCCCGAAGAAGAGCGACCTAAGTCTTTGCAAGAACTGGCGCGGAATCATGCTGCTGTCCACTGCAAGCAAAATATTAAGCCACATCATCCTGGAGAGACTAAAGTGTGCGCTAGATTCAAAACTACGACCGGAACAGACTGGCTGGCTGGCTTCAGGAAGTACAAATCATGTGCAAATCAAATTGCAACGCTACGCATCATCATGGAACAGAGAATAGAACGGCAGTTAACCCTCTACCTCAACTTCATCGGTTTTGAAAAGGCCTTTGACAGTATCGACCGAGAAGTAATTTGGCAACTGCTTCAACACTACGGAATACCACAAACCTTTATCAGCCTCATTCAACAACTATGTGAAGACGCCACATGCCAGGCGATTCACAATAGAAAGCTGAGCTCAGTGACGCCTTTGAAGTGAAGACAGGAGTAAGACAAGGCTGTCTACTATCACCGATGATCTTCCTGATTGTGGTGGACTGGATGATGCAACAAACCGTGAGGAGCGAGAAGAGGGGGATACATTGGACCGCGGAAAAGAACCTAGTAGATTTGGATTTCGCCGACGATTTGTGTCTAATGTCACAAAAACTCGAGGATCTACAGGCGAAAACTAACAAGTTGACAGAAGAGGCAGCGAAGACGGGACTTCAAGTGAACGTAGAGATGACAGAGGTGATGAAGATACCCAACCAACACCACCACCAATAACAACAAGCTCCAATCACCATAAACGGGAGAAACTTCAAGGAGGTGGCCTCTTTCATCTACCTAGGCAGCATCGTTTCAACTACAGGTGGTGGCACGGATGAGGACATCAAAACCAGGATCGGAGAAGTAAGACAGGCGTTCATTAACCTGAAATCAGTGTGGAGATCTACTGCATAAAGAACAAGAACTGGATTTTCAACACGAATGTCAAGTCAGTGCTTCTATGTGATGGTTGAGAGACTTGGCGCGTGACGAAAAGCATTTCCAACAAACTAAAGACATACATCAACAACTGCCTACGCTCGCTCGTTACTGGAGATCAGATGACCAGAAAGAATATGGAACAAGGAGCTTTGGCTGGTGACGAACCAACCAAGAACCCATCGCCCAACAAATATGCAGAAGAAAATGGAGATGGGTTGGACTGGACATACACTGAGAAGGCCGTTTGAGGACATCATACGGATTTTTTCATATTCACTGTTAGATTTCGTTTATCTGCCTTCGTGATTACGATTGTTTCTTACTTTTTTTTGATTGCGTAGGGCTGATCGTTCTGCATTTGTAATGTTTGGCGGCATATATACCTGTTTTTGTAGAATGCGTGGAGCTTTCAGGCGTACAGTGTTAGCGTCTTCATCTAGTGGTTTTTCGGTCAGTGACTTGATGATGGGTGTCATTTCGAGGGTGCTGAGTTGTTTCCTGTTCAAGTCGAAGTCCAGACCTTTGCTCAAAAGTGTCATCTTATGTTCTGACAGGTTTTTGTTGGATAAGTTATCGTTAACCTTCAAATTACTAGATTAGTCTTTTTCTGATGAGGTTGTCTTTCCTTCTTTTAACGCTTTCATTCTTTCAAATTTTCTGATTTGCCTGCATTTGGAAATTTTCAGAAGGTGGTTTTCTCTTTGGTTGAATGTAAGAAAGATTGCATCATGTAGTTCATTGAGGAGAAGAAGTTTAGTTATTTTGTCTAAGTTCTTTAATCATTCACTATATGTTCCCATGTCGACGGTACATTTGTGTATACGTTCTCTGAGGAAGATGCGTGACGTACTTCGTGATGCTTGGATAGAGCGCCATGAATGTTCTAGAGATTTAACATATAAACATTTCGGTATAATGTCATCATGTCCCCTATCGTTGCAAACCTTTTCATGTCCCACATTGAATCAATCATCTTTTCGAACACCATCAAACCACGTATTTGGCTCAAATACGTAGATGGTACTTTCTTAGTTTTAAAAAGATCTGGCCTCAGAACCTTTTCGAAATTAATTGACACTTATTCTCCACATATCAAGTTCACATGTTAACATGAAAATCCAAGCAGTAAACTACCATTTCTAGACTGTTTGGAATGGAAACGGAAGTCTAAGTTTATCGATTTATCGTAAACCAATACATTCAAATCGATATCTTGATTTTAACTCAGCACATCCACTCAGTGCTAAGCTTTCACTTGCTCGGAACTTATTCAGGAGAGCCGCAAAGCTCATCACGAATGAAGATGATAGGCAAACGGTAGTAAGTAATATATCAGATGTATTATATTTCAGTAACTACCCTAGTCATTTCATTCGTAAGATTCAGAAACATGAACGTTGGGACCCAAGAGAAAATTCAAATGATGATTCTTGAATTGGTACAATAGTTCTACCATTCCACCAAGGTGCAACCGAAGAGCTACAAAGAATCTTAAGAAAGCACCGAATTAGGACATTTTACAAGACAACCAACACCCTGAGGAATGCTCTAGTCCCCGTGAAAGATAAAGTTCCTTTCACCTCCACACAAAATTGTCTACAAATTAGGCTGTGTCGACTGTGATGCTTATTATATTGGAGAATCATCCCGTGAGATCCTCATTAGGGCTAAAGAACATGCAAGCTACACAAAACGACCGCTAAATAATCCTGTAGAACTAGAGAACTTACAAATCGAGTCGGTGATCGCAGCTCACACTATCACATTCACAAAATCGATATTGAAAATATTAAAATTATTCAAAAGGAATTTTCAAACTGCAAAGAAAGAAGAATAGCAGAGACATTTCACATTATGTTGAATCCTAATGCACTCAACAGAAAGGAAGGTCTAACTATTCAACCAACCTGGACAGTATTTCCAAAAACAATGCATCACACAATGATCTGATCAAAAGTACATACACACAAACAAACCGAATTTTTCATCCATATTATTTATTTATTTTTTCTTACACTCATACCCAGTTACATGTACATGAAACATATCACATTGAACTCCAGACTAATTAAATGATAAACAAAGACAAATTATGAACGCTTCCTGACCAGCATAACGATGACATTCACATTCATATTATCATCATGTATAGACAATGTGGTTTGATTCGTCACCTTTTACTATTTAAACTCTTCTGTGAAGAAGCGATTTCCACAAATTCGCGAAGCGTCAGAAATTTATTTTTCTACTTCATTGGGATTTTACAAATATATTTCATTTATTCTTATTGATTGTTCGTTACTGTTAAAAGTTATTCAACTACGCACAATTTTACACTGAATGAACATCAGAAGACGAAACATGTAAGCCGTATAATTTATAGTCCTAAATCATCTATCTCTGGCATATCAAGTGTCTTAGTCAGGAGGTTTGCACTTTCAGCCCATATTGCAGCAACAGTCAACGACTTTTTGGAAAGGCGTTACGCCGTTTACTATCAACTCGGTTCAACTTAAGCAAACTGTTGTTGACTAATTAAAAGATGTCTGTTTTGTGCATTCACATAAAATGGTACCATTGTAACGTTAGGTTTAAGAGACTATTCATAAAATTTTCTTTCGTCTTGAATGTACTATTGAGCACTGACTACTCAGAAAAGAAATATCCTTTTGAGTTTATTTCTTCTAGTCGTATGGATAACGAGGAACCGTCAATACCAATTTAACCACTATGTATTTCACCTTTTTTTACTGTCATTCGAAAGCGTAAGTGTTCAGACGGCGATCTGTGATCTGTCTGACATCGAAAAAGTGAACAGTGAAACTCCACTGAGTGGCGTGAATAGTTTTAACTTATTCTGTGAAATATGCTTTCCGGTTGCATAATTTCCTTCCACTGTTTCTCCTTTGCAATATATAGCCTAGGGATTCAACGTTTCATATCATAAATTGCCACGTTTGTGGTATTCAGAGACTTTTTGCGGTCTGCCTGGATTAAGTCTTCTTGTTTTTGTATTGATGTAACGACCCGGTACAAATTAACTTACAAGGCTATGAGTCACTTACTACTCGCTTGCCTTGGCTGAAGGAACCTCTGTGACATTGAAATCCAGGACCCTATTGTTCTAGGGTCAAATGCTTAGACCAAACCCCCTATAGGTTTGTCGAAAAACGATATAATCCTGGTTTTATTGTGGCAATTAGACTGTTATCAAAACCAAGCTATTCTTTTTCTTGTTTAGTACAATTGTATGAGTCTAAAATTGATTGGAACCGTTTTAGATAGAAGACTGGACAACCTAGCTAATGAAGTTGACTTTGTGAATTGTGTGTCTTTAAATGGTTCTCATAATTATGAAACCTGTCAACACAATTTTTCCATCTCTCTTCAGTCAAATGAGATGAATTCCCAATGTTACCTTCTTTGAGTTACAGTTACATTAATGTGTAGCAAAGATGTACTATGTAGTTTACATTTTTAAGAGAGTGCTCCAAAAATATACAACCTACCTTAATTTTCGCGAATGATGACATTTCATCTGAGTCACGTTTATCAGTATTTAGAAAATAACGTAAATCTTAGGCGCATTTTGCAGCAAAGAAATTTGTGCAAAAATGATGCATCTATTTTTATTGGTAAATCCTTTGTAAACATTAATACCCGTTTATTGAGGAATGGCGATAGGTCCTGAGACCAAAGAACAGACCCATCAAATTGATTGAATAGCATTCTAGGGAATCGCTGCAGAAACTTGATTGTGAAGAGTAAGTACGTTCTTGCCACCGTAACTGATTTTGGTCCATATCACTGAGGGTCTTCAAACTTTAGATTCTGAATGTCCAGTTACCCTCAACATTTCTTATACTTTTCAGACAGTTAATCAAAGACTTTATTTCTTGTTCTACTCTAGAAATCATTTTTGCACTAAGGAGCTGCGAATCACTGGTCCAGATAATCAACTTCCAACCAGTTGGTTATGCATTCGAACTATACTTCATTACCTGCTGCACGAAAATAGACAGGGCTATTGAGTGCATTTAAATTTCTTTCGAGACGCTACTTTTTAAAACTAAGTCACATAAATTGACTATGGATTTTCAAAGTACTGGTTGCATACTGTGGAGCTACAAAGCAAAACCTTTTTTAAGAGGTTTAGTCGCTTGATGATATTTTACCCGAAACGGTATAGGCAACTCATATTGATTCAGAAGTTACTTCTGCTCACGATGTTGGCTAGTTTTAAATAGCCTAGAGTTGTCAGAACAGGGAACATACCAGTATCTGAAGCTACTAACAGTCAGTATCAGTGGTGCTGGAAGTGTAGACTTCCAGCCTGTAGTGTTTAAGATGTGATTAACAGCTCTTCGTGTCGACTCAAGATTCATCACAAACACAATCACTCTTTGTACGTTTATTGACTTCTCTCTCAGGTTGTTCACAGTAAATATTTTGTAATGAAATTTATTCCTAGAGTATTCAAAACTCACCGAATTGGATGTTTTCCCACTGTCTTTCTTTTGCTTCGACTTGCTGCACATTTAAAGAGTGGGTTTTAGAAAATGGTTCTTTTCTTTGGGATGTTTTACTTTGATAATACGATCATCTTTTCATACTCACTGACTCATGAAGTTTTCCTATGGTATATTTTTTCATTCGATACCAGCGCTTTTCTGTCTACAGTGAAATCTTACTCCATCATATAATTCTCAGTTAGACCGACTGCAGTGTTGAGCGTGGTTACTTTTGTTACACAAGCTTAAAGTAAACTAAATGGATATTGTCTACATTTGTACATAATATTATATGCTAATAATTATTCCTTTGTGATTTGTAACTGCATCACTAACGCTTATTCTACATTTCTTAAATTTATTGGATAAGCTGAAGGCTAACAAATTCTTTTTCAAGAGTTGTTCTGTTCTTAAAATATTTAATACCACGTGTCAAAGAGATATTTCAGAGAGAACTACATATTCTTGTAGCTAATTAGCTCTGTTCTGGTAAAGGGATTATTCGCTTTCTTGTCTACACTTTCAACTCCTTTACTTTGTATGCAAACAGAAGGGTGGGGTAGCTTCAAGATATGCTGACGTTTTTGTTCATTTCTATTCCATAGCTAATGATGGTGATCGATAAAATTTTATTGATCATTTTACATTTTTTATTCACTTTCGATAAACTGACAATTTTACCCTGTCAGTATCCGTCGTTTATATTTCAAGGTTATGTATTGGTTTTATTGAGTCACTGTAGCTTTGTTTTCTTCGCAACACTTAGTTACATCGTAAAAATCCTGTATTAATTTTTGTTCTTCAAAATGTTTGGTCTTCCAATTTTCTATTATTTGTTTTGTAAACAAAGAAAAATAGTCGATGGAACACAAAATGTTGATGAAAGGAACGATGTGAGAAAAATCACTCTTCTGTATTTGCAATGTGCATCTATGTTTTACAGCTTCCACAGTCTTGAAAGATTTCTTCAAACTTTATATTTTTCAATTTTGTTTACTTAGGAAGATGTTCCTTCTACAATCTACCTTGTTTTCGATAGTAAGGAAATTGTTTGACGTCTTCCAGTACGTGCACAATTATACATTTGGGGATGATCCCTTAACCTACCTACTTGGAAAGCGTTCGTTACTTGGCTGATGCAAAGCGTTTCTTATAATACTTGTAAATATATTTTCTCAACTCTTGATTCATTGAGTGTATTAAGGATAGATCCGGTATTTCTATACAATTTACTTTGATAAATTTTCTTTGAGTTAAAAAAACGTTTATGTAGTTAAAAAGTGTCAGTCGGTTTCGTAAATTATCCATTAGTACAGCGTATCCGAGAGCGGCACATATGCTTGATTATATGCGCTCTGTATGGGCATACATGAATGATCAAAATCTTCCTCATGTTCATACAGCTAGTAGTCCTAGGTGGCGTGGACTTTCTCGCTTGCATTTACATTCATTGGCGCATCAAATTATCATGGTTCGTCGTCATTCAAAGGGTGGTACTTCTGCTCGTGCACAATTGAAAGCATATCGTACTTCGGGACTTTTACCTCCGCGTTTTACTGATATTGGTTTAGCTTAGCCGTTTACCAGAGCTGCAGTGGCGAAAGTGAGTTGTTCGTTTGTTCCACTCCAAAAAAAACTTTTCGTCTGTCTGTTAGGGTTTATGCCGTATTACGTCACCCGGTATCGGGTGACACAATCCCGCTTTTGAGGGAACTCATAAAAACAGTGGGAGATAGTTCTATCGAGGGAGCCCTCCCAAAAGAAGGTTGAATCCACACACTGCTGCCTTCTGTCCAACACGCGCTTGGAGTACAAAAAGAAGGGAACACGCTTCCAGAATTGGGTCGGATAGCAGATTGCACTGTGGAGAGATGTGCAGCTCGAGGCGGCCAAGCAGTTCATTATACTGGTCACAGCTACTCTAAAGACAGCATCATAGTAGAATCAGGGGAAAACGTGAAACAACTAAGGGAAGGTGTGGCTCAAATTAATCAGGGTCGAAGTCAAAGGGGCAAACCCTTGATTGGACAGAGGTCATGAAGTGGACCTGGACATTTTCGGCATTGTTGATGAATTTTTGGTATCAATGGAAGCGTAATGCATACTCTAAGAGATGTGCGGCTGCATACGCCTGGGTGAGCAGTCCCTACGGAAATAAAGAATAGATGGCCTCTCCTCAGCTGGCAACTACTGAGGAGGGGTGCACAGACAGTCGTCTATTCCGTCACAGACAGAAATTCCGGCATTGAATTCTTGCCAAATACGGAGGCCGAATCCGGTATTCTGCCATGAGACGGGGTTGACCACGGACGCTAAAAATGTGCAGTCACGTTACCAGGCCCCAAAAAATACAAAAAGCGAGGTTCTTTTGAAAGATCAGAACTCTAGTTCTCAGACTGAAATGGCAGTTTCCTTGGTTTTTCACCATAAGAGGCCCGGACTTAGCAATACCGGCTGGAAGACTTTCGGAGAAGTATGGATTTTCGGTAACCACAAGAAACGCTGCAGTGAGCTCTCAGCTGAAAGACGGTTAAAGCCACCTACATTACATCCTTAAACCTGGTACAATCTCCTCCAGTGTCAACCGAAAAGTTTAGAAATATGTCGGCGGATTTCCAAAACCAGACGTCGTCTGATGCACCAACTTCCCGCTTAGTTCCTATGGTGACAGCCGTAAAACACGATTCTCTCCGGTATTCATTCACAAGACCCGGCAAACTAGCACCAGGTGGCCTGAGAATCTCTACGACTGAATTTGATTATATGTTTCAATTAGGCATCATCACCATTCCAACAGTCAGTGGGTTCCTTTATAACTTGTGGTGGCCAAGAAAAATCAGACAGACTAGCAGTCGCATGACGGTTATAGAGCACTAAACTACCATACCAGTACTGACAGGCATCCAGCGATTAATATTAAAAAGGCCACCAACTGTCTTAACGGTGTCACCGTATTCACTAAAATCGACCCCATCGGCATGTAGGAATGCGTGTTACAATTCCGTAACGTTTGATCAACCCTACTTAATTTGATGTGCTCTAGTACCTGCTTAACCAGTACTTTACCTAACGTGTAAGTACTGGTAACAAAACACAAATCAAAAGAACTGATACGCAATGTATTTAAAGGAGCTATGTATTTAAGGTAAATGTAATAATAATGAATGAGGGAAAAGTTTAATCAACTTATCTGGCTTGTAAGGCTGAACTAGGGACTCGGAGTACGTGCGTGGTGATCAGCACAATGGAGCGCAAAAATGGCGTCCAAGCCTGCTCGGATGCATGCTCGTTAAAACAAAACTTAAAACACCCTAAGCATCCGGAGGCAAGCTAGAGATTTATTTAGTTAATTTAATTTAAACTATTTATTTTAGCCCTAGTTATATTTTGGTGCCAGGAAGGTGCACTACAGGTTATCCCCCTCCTAGAAGGTTGTTGGGATACCGGCAACCTTCGATCCTAGGAGGCGACTGCGAGGCGGACACGCAACACCTTTCCATATTGGTGATGGAGTAGGTGACGTGTGGGTCTCCGAAGCTAGTGCAACTATGCACACCTACGAGGTAAGATAACTTTGCGTCTAGACGCAACCCTTCTCGCAGTGGTGGAAGGTGACCCAAAGCCTCCGTCTACTTTTCCCTATTGCTTCTTAATCTACCGGGGAGTGTACAGGGGGAAATTGGTACAAAGAGAACCGAAGAACGATCCAAGTAGCATCGTCAGCGGCCAATTGTATCCAATTTTCAACGCATTTTCTAGGTTCTGCAAGAAGAAAGAAATGGGACATTAGAGTGCTAAGAAAAGGAAAACCAAACAATTCGAAGTGGGAGTAGTACAGAAAAAAAAATAATAACCAACCAAAAAAAGTTTTCGGAATTTAAATTGTATTTTTGATTTTTCTTTTTTTTTTTGAAAAAAAAACTGTTTGCAAAGTAGTAAACATGACTTTTGAAAACTTTAGGTATGAAAACGCATTGAAAGTGTATGCCACGACAAAGTAGTTGAAACTCCGAATTCACCAAGTGTGAAGTTGCTCAGGGGCTAATTAACGAACTCGGCGTATCGCTTGGGCCAATGTACACGCCTCCCAGCACGTGTAGAGGTTACTGGATCAGTGTTACTAGACGTGGCTCTTTTAGAAGGTTCAGGATACGCGCGACTAAACGAGTCTGTTAGGGAGTCCGGCGGCAAGGGTCTGGGTGTGCCTGTGGAGGTGTCGCACAATATTGACACTTCACTGTTCAGGAGCGGTAACGCTGTATCTTCAGAGAGGATGAGTGTTGAAGTTTTCCAATCTCCTCGTCTGAATCCTGAAGTTCGGCAATCTTCCGTAAGTCGACTGCTCGAGGCAAAGTAGTGGTGCAAACGCGAGACAGTGCGTCCGCGACAGGGTTATTCACACCAGAAATATGACGGATGTCCGACGTGAATTGCGAAATATAATCTAGGTGACGTAATTCACGCGGTGAATATCTGTCAGTAGTGGTGTGTAAGGCATACGTCAGAGGTTTATGGTCGGTAAAGATGATGAAGTCACGACCTTCCACAAAATGACGAAAATGTTTCACTGAGGCATATATGGCGAGCAGTTCCCTGCCGAAAGTGCTGTACCGCATTTCGCAGGTGGATAACTTCCGGAGAAGAATGCAACTGGGATCCAAGTGTGATCCGAAAGTTGTTGCAACACAGCTCCAATGGCCGTGTTAGAGGCGTCAACCGCAATGCTGAGAGGTAGGTTTACGTCTTGATGCACCAGCATCGTGGCGTCTGCTATTGCGGTTTTGATCTTGCGAAATGCTTCTAGTGCCTCCGGAGTCAAGCTGAAAGTTTTACATTTACTTTTCAGCAGGTCGGTCAGTGCAGTCAAAATGTGTGCACATTGGGGAATGAAGCGACGATAATAGCTCACCATACCCCAAAACACACGCAGAGCTTTAAATGACGCTGGGACCGGGAAGTCTTGGATCGCCTGTACCTTTTCAGGTAGTGGGCGAATGCCTTGCTCGTCGATAACGTGTCCCAAAAATTTTAGTGAACGAACGCCAATTTGGCATTTGGCCAGGTTGACTGTCATCGAATGCTCTGACAGTCTGGCGAAAACCTGTTTCAAGTGGTTAAAATGGGTGTCTTCGTCTGGACTAGCGATTAGTATATCGTCTAGGTAGGCATAGGCGAAATCGAGTCCACGTAAAACATCGTGAATAAAACGTTGGAAGGTTTGTGCTGCATTGCGAAGACCAAAAGGCATACGGAGGAACTCAAAAAGACCAAACGGTGTAATGACGGCTGTCTTGGGAACATCATCAGGATGAACCGGGATCTGATGATATGCACGCGTCAAGTCAAGCTTACTGAAGATAACCGAGCCTTTTAAAGATGCAGTCAAGTCGTGAATGTGAGGGACTGGGTAACGATCTGGAATCGTTTTAGCGTTGAGCCTTCGGTAGTCACCACAAGGCCTCCAGTCCATGCCATTGTTCTTGGGTACCACATGCAAGGGTGAAGACCATGGACTGTTGGATGGTCTGATTATTCCCATTTCAAGCATGTGTTCGAACTCGGCTTTTACAGCACGCAGTTTCTCCGGGGATAATCGCCGTGGTTTCGCAAATACTGGAGGGCCAGTCGTCGTTATGTGATGAGAAACGTTCGAAGTCACACAAGGGACACAACGACTTGGCTTAAAGACATCCGGAAAGGACTGAATGATAGACGCATAGGGACTAGAAGCGTCCGTCGTGCAGTACACGGGACTGAGGGGCGGCGTCTTTGTGACTATACCGGAAACAGAGAGTGTTGTGGTAGAATCTATCAACTTATGCTTGCCAGCATCTACCAGCAGCTGATAGTGCTGCAAGAGATCCATACCAATAATGCCGGTGGTCACATCTGCCACTATGAAAACCCAACGAAAGGGACGACGCAATCCAAGGTTGAGATCGAGGAATCTCCGACCATAGGTTGTGATGGGCGAACCGTTGGCGGCACGAAGTTGCAGAGACATTGGCCGCAGACGCTCTTCCTTCGTAGGTGGGATGACGCTAGCTTCTGCCCCAGTGTCAACTAGGAAGCGTATCCCAGAATGTCGATCAGTGACGAAGAAGAGGCGACATGGAAGTGGCTCGCCAGCGACGTTAGTCGCCGTCACGTGCTGGCTCACACGTTTCCCGCCTGGTTAGCCTCGAAGGTGCAAGGTCGAGTGCACTTTTTGGCATTGGCACCATAACGTTTATGGTACCAGCACAACCTGGGTTGGGATTGTCGCGATTTGGAACGTCTGCTATCGGTACGGGAGGCAGACCTGTTGCGCGAGCGAGACGTGCGACCTTTGTAAGAACTACCAGACCGCATTTCGTTCCTGATGCTGCACAACTCCTCATACAATTTTGAGATGTGAGTTATAACATCGAAACTTGTTGGCTCAACAGCCGAGGGAGGATTTTTGAACGAATCCGTGGCAGTAGACAGTGCAGCTGAGATACTAGTGTTGGGTTTCGTAGCATCCACAGCTCTGTCAGCCGCTTCCGCCAACTCTATTAAGGGGCACTTATGGAAGGGTGCGAGGATCCCTTGAACCGACTGTGGTAACCTCTGTAACCACAGTTGCTTGAGAAATGCTTCATCAATGTTGAAGTCAGCAATCAGCTGCTTCATCTGACGAAGCAGTTGCGTCGGCTTGCGATCACCCAGATGCACATCCCTGAAAAGTTCTTGCACTTTCTGCTGGTCAGTAAGTGCAACACGTTTGATGAGGGCGGTTTTGAGGCGATCGTAAAGATTCGGTGCTGGGTCATCTAGCACATCTGACACGTCTTCAATCACATTTTCCGGTAAGCTGACGATGACTAAGTTGGACTTAGTTTCTTGTGATTGAATGTGTCTCAAGGCAAACTGAGCTTCCACATGGGAGAACCATGCAGATGGTCTGTGGGCCCAGAAGGTGGGAAGCTGGAGGGTTATGGCCATCTGCGCAGTCGAGTCGTTATCCGCCATTGATCAGGGAATTAACGAGGCACGATAGTGATAATAAAAAAATTACAATGCAAAAATAACCAATGAGGAGTGCAATAATAAAAAAAAAACGCTAGAC